TGGTTGGAATAAAACTGAAGCGTTCTGCTCAAGACGAGAAGCTAATCGAAGCCATCTTCCAAACGAACCTACCCTCTATTGATGGGCAAACAGTCTACGGATCAACACAACGCAATCTGATCGTAGACGCACGTCCAACTGCAAATGCCATGGCCAACAGAGCAATGGGAGCAGGAACCGAACATATGGAGAATTACAAAAATTGCCAGAAACAGCACATGGGCATCGATAATATTCATGTGATGAGAGAATCTTTGGCGAAGATGGTTGATGGTAGACTTGTTAATGTCAGGATTTTTGTTGGGGACAGCAAAATAGAAGTTAGACCTTTGGGAGTTTTCTTTTTATGTGGGTACGACTATATTAACGTAAAAATTTTTTTTAAATTTAATTTCGCCCTATTATCCTCTATTTCTTCGTGTAAAATTGCTCTCCTTGCCAGTAATTCAATCATCCGATATCCAGCGAACACCAATAAAACGTTCTCATTTGGACAAATCCCACTGGCTCAAGCACATAAGTAGCCTTCTCGAATCAGCCGTGATTATAATTAATCATATCCACGTTTTCAACTCACACGTACTAGTCCATTGCTCAGACGGATGGGATCGCACGGCACAATTGACATCCATAGCTGAACTCTGTCTCGATCCTTACTATCGTACACTTCGTGGGTTTCAGGTACTCGTCGAGAAAGACTGGATATCGTTCGGCCACAAGTTTAGCGATCGTTCAGGACATTTGTCGAATGAGAAATACTTTATCACGATATCAAGCAACAATGCCAAGAATGCAGTAATGTCAATGAATAATTTATACAATCAATCACACGTTAGAGAAACGTCGCCAGTGTTTCACCAATTTCTAGATTGCGTTTATCAGTTGTTGTGTCAATATCCAGATAGGTTTGAGTTTAATGAAAAGTTTCTGATTGAAATGCATTATCACGTGTATTCATGTCAGTATGGGACATTTTTGTTCAACTCGGAAAAGGAACGGGTACAGTATAATGTGATGGCATCCACCAATTCGTTGTGGGACTATATCAACTCAAAAGCAGAAGAGTTTACTAATGAATTATATGATGGAGGAGCCAAGGATAAGGAAAAGCTGGGGGATGGAGGAGTGCTATTTCCCAAGACAAAGCCAAGTGATTTGAAGTATTGGGCCGGGTTGTTTGGTAAGAAAGACGAGGAATTGAACGGTAACAATGACGATACTCTGGATGATAGATTAGACAACAAATCAAGATGGAGATCAGAGAGCCCCATACCTCGTTCATCATCTAGCCCGAATGTAATGGGCGAGGTGTTTGGTGCACACGAAGATAATGGTCTGGGCGGAAGCCTGCACACAAAGTCCTCTTCGTTATTACCATATCAGTTATATGATCCTTGGAGAGATAGCGGTGACAGTAAGGGGATTGAATCCGAAAGGAAAATACGACACAAGTCAAGTGGCAGTGATCTTAACGCCAAAGAATTAGTGCAGAACTTTGCTAGAGTTACATTAAATTGGGGCTCGGCTGCTTATTCTAATTTAACCGCCAAAGTCAGCGGAGATACGGGAGCTGTTGAGACAACTGCAGAAAACAAGAGACGATCGATAGCAACCAATGGGCAACCGAACGAGTCAACAGGAAGCAATGTTCCGGAAATCGGATCCATGCGAGAACTGACCGCGTTTACTGCAACAAACACTCCGGACGCGGGAGATTCACCAAGTAGATCGTCATCATCATCCCACTCTCCTCCATTATCTCCGTTATCGCCTACATCGGCAGCACCGTCATCGCCCTCTTCCTCATCCAATCCATTTTCTTTTCAATCTCTATCGACACCATCAACTCCGACACTCCGGCCCTGGCAAGCCATATCTAACGCGTTCTCGACATTATCATCATCGACACCATTATTTCAATCGAACTCAGCCTTGTCGAGAGACAATCACAGTTCGTATCCGCCAGAAGGGAGATCAGGCAATGGCGCGAGCACTACACCACCTTCATCGCCGAGGTTGAGATCGGCAATAAACGAGAGCAGGGTGCGATCGAATTCAACGTCACCTTTGGCCACGCCTCCGATTACAGGCTTTGGAGGGATTTGGGGAGATGATGAAGAGAAGGGGGAGAAAGGCGGAGGAATTGATCGGGGCAGGGATGGGGATGTTGGTGGGAATGGGGGGAGTACGGGCGGTACAAGGAGGAAGGTCTCGATTACAGAGCCAGTGCCTACAACAAGTGCGGAAAACTTGCCTCATCCATTGTATATGAGTGAGTGAGTGAATGAGTGAGAGTGTTTTAAATCTAGTACGTAGACTTTATAGCTAATAGAACATAGAATAAAGACGCTTTTTTTTTCGATGGTCGATAAGAAAAAAAAATATATTTATTATTGGCAATAAAAGACGAGAGGGTGTTGTTTATTTCCAAGTGGGTTATTACATCAAGATGCATAGTAATACGAACATACGTGTTGCTTATCTAATAGGGATGCATGATGCGTGAATAAGAACGGATCATAACCCAGGAATGCAATTATTATTTTAATATTATACTTTCGGATCAATTTCAGTCTACTCCCGTAAGGTCCCAATGATGACCGGGACAATCCCCAAGTACAAAAAGGCGTACGCGTTTATACTGTACAATAAATTCAGTTCACATTAGCGCCTGGTATCTCGATTACATAATTTGTATGTATGATTTCAATCTTTCCGAGATATACGAGTTCACGTTCGAGAGTCAATCCCTGTTTCGCATCACATGTAGTCAGTCTATCATGTGCAAACTGCAGAGTGTGTAAGCAAATCCACGTATCACAGAACTAATATGCTTAAATTACGCACGACGTCAGTCACACAGTTACATGCTCTTGTAAAAGATTTTTCCGTGACAGAAAACCAGGGGGGTTTTTGAGAACTATCCCCAAGCCCCCCGTCTGATATGTATATACGATTATTGGGGCTGCAAAAGAATGGGGCTATTGTTTAATAGTTATATTGTTTGGATCAGGATTTGATACAGGTTGAAGATTTTGATGGGTGCACATTCATGTGAAGGAAACACCCGATCAAATCAATCAATCAATCAATGATGCTTGCATATCTGTTATTATGGTTTAAGAATAGAACGCCTCATTTTTATGTAAACGGCACGCATACACACAAGTTGTATATAATATATTGCTTTGATTTTTGTTTGCATTTCAATACTTTTGCTTGGAAACGTTCTGGCCCGTAGCGAAATTCAGCCCGATTCAAGATCGGGCGGCCCAGTTCGAAATAAGCACATTTTATTTCGCTATTATCACATAAACAATGTTGGTTAGATGTCGATTATTGGTTGTGATATTAGATAATGTGCCTATTGCGAAACGGGCTGGATTGCCGCTACGGGCCAGAACAGAAAGTACGCTCGAGATCAATTGCTAACAATTATCTCTGGTTTATCTCTTATCTTGTACGACTGTCGAATATTCGGGAGATCGCCCTTAAATGTATTATTATTTCACTACTACCAATAGTGGTTTAACGAACGTTTATTCTTAAACGAAATATTAACGATGATATAGCGCGCTAAAAAACCCGACCGTCAGACGGTGATTTAATATAATTATGTGCAAATAAAAAGTATACAAATGAGATAAATTAATATGTGGCAAAACATGACGTGCGTTTGGTAAGTATGACGTTAAGTAACGTATGAGATTAAAATATCAACGCTGACAATTAGTAAGCGCGTCACTGTATTCCGCTGGAACTTTCAAAAGACATACCAATGATATAACCCACTCACGTGATACATGGATAGTGATTAACCAACTCATAGCGATAGTCAATCACATTTAGCAACAACCTTCATGATAGATGTAACCTACGCTTTTTGATGTATGTTCCAAAAATAACGACTTGTATACATGCATATGTCATGCATAGTCGATGTATAGTCGATGTATATCCAGAACATTTTAATATCCGAAATATAACTGGAACGGATATACATAGCGCATAGTACGCAGGAGTATGAACGGCGATTGTATCGGCATTCGCATGTGCACAGCTGTTAATGACATGTGAAATAAGAATGTTAATCAATTTTAAACCAAAAGCTTTAATCGAACGATGTCCAAATTTTAATAAAAGTGAGCGATATGATCATCGCCCTGCATCCCACTTAAGCCACTTTAGGGCAACGATACGTTCTTATTAAAAGCTCATAGTATGCGAAATGTTGCTTTGACGAGTGTGTGCTATCGAAAAGAATCGTTGCAAGAGTAGAACGATGCAAAATTAAAAGCTTTTTCACTCGTTCATCATTTGACGGTCTAATTGCATAAAAAAGTCAAGCATCAACATACGTGTGTTCTTCTACTCGAGCAAATACTCTAGCAACAGTACCAATATGTTGTCTTTGCATTAGAATGTTGTCGGTCATAACAAATGCCTTGCTCTTGACACCAAAGTTACTGATACCACATTAAACCTGCCTGCCCATCACTGTAGTTTTCGGTCCAACTGACCTTCCTTTACGACTGCGGGCAATAATAAATACCGTTTGATATCTAGTAACACTTGTGAACTTAGAATTTTGTTTATAACCGAAAAACGTAATGATCTGACAACTGTCAATGTACGTTGGGGTCTTGTCACTGTTAAAGGCGAGCCGGGGAAAAAAAAAGGCAGGTGATATCCAAGGCAACTAAAATTCAGAGGTTTGTTTTCGTTGGGTCCTTTATGTCCGTTCGTTTAAAGGAATCGTCAAAGTGAGCGTGCAGATGACACCTTGGTTTTGAGAGCGTATCAGTTTTTTTTAACATTGTTTGAGCACGTCCCACATAAGTGTTTGTCGTATGTATAGTTTGATTATATAAGTGGTACATAAATATTTGTAGCCATTACCGATTTTAGACTTTATTCCGTTAAAGTGATCATTGTGAGGGTCGGGGGGAGTAAAGGGGAACTTTGTTGTGAGGGGGTGAGGAGAGAGTTGCACATGATACTACATATTCGATATATACTTATTTGTTGCCATTATCAGATATATAGCATATATAGTATTAATAAGTGATTTCACGTTCAATCTACGTTATTACTCGTTCATCTTGCTTACATTTATTTAATGGTCATACATTCCCATTAAGTCAATGTCCATCAGTTAGGCGTATACGGTGGTAGACTCGACATGTAACGAAAAAGTATGTTTATATTATTATAATAATAAGCGTATTGTGATACAAATCTGATGATTTAGATTTGATAACATATAATCATTATCTATAATCAGGATATTTTAATTAGAGTTTTTTAAATAAAAGATATTGTGTCGGCAGGATAAATAGCATTTGACTGCCATCCAATCAGATTACAGCACAGACATACTATCATCGAAAAGACGCCTGTTCCCTTCCCCTTTTCCTTCCTCCCCCTCTTCCCAATAATCACATATTATAAACGATTCGTCATCCCGAACAGGTGCACTGTTGACTAATTCGACCGAATCGTCTTCATCCCTTACCATATTCATTACTTATCACACCAAAAAGTCTCCGGGGTGAACCTTTTGTAGTCATATTTTATTAATACCCCCTCTTTACTTTACCCTAAACAAATACTAACACAGTACCCCCCCGTTCTCCCTGTTCTATCTTCTGTCTATAACACTCCCCTCCCCCCCCTTTTTAAACAACTACTATAAAAAAAACTTATGTCTCCAATAAAAACTCTCTAATAATTAACTATATACCTTTTTTTTTATAAAAAAAACTTTCTCTGTACAGTAGCATCTTCCATATACCATTTTTTTGAACATCAAGTAACCCAACCATGTCAAGTAATAACAACTTGACCAAGAATAAAGATAAGCCTGTCAATGGAAACTCTCATGTCTACTTTGAACAAAATACTTCCGCCAACTCAGACTCAAACTACGTATCCCAACCATACACAAATGGCACCCACCTTCCACAAGCTACTGACTCTAATGGGACCCAGCAACAACAGTCACAGCAGACCCAGGAGAAACAAATCCAACCACCATCACAGCATCAGCAACCATCGCAACCATCGCAACGAACAACACACGAACATACTAGCTACATCTCAAAACCGACTTTCGGTCTGCCTGACTTTGTATTATTAGAAACACTCGGTATGTCTCTTCATTGTAATCTCTTGTGTTTAGGTTATGAGCGGATCAGATTAGATAAAAGAGAAAATGTGGATCAAACTGGGTTCGTCTCTTAGGCTTAAAGTAATCACGAGCGACAGAATTCAGTAAGAATCTGCATGAAACCTATCAGACGCGCATTGACGAATTCAAACGAGGAATTCACAAATTACGCGTGTCTTTCGCTTTCTCGACAACATTGACGGCGAGCTCATGTTCAAAATCGATGGGTTTTTAAACCGTTAAAGACTAAAAATTGTTGGAATAGTTTTACAAATGTTGTTCAAACCTAATCGCGGCGGCGTCTCCCTTTCAAATCCCCTTTCGAAACTGATCCCTTGTCTAAAAAAAACATATTAAACTCGATCAATTAGGCACGGGAACCTTTGGACGAGTGTTTCTTACAAAGTACAAACATACCGAGAACTACTATGCCATGAAAGTACTGAAAAAGGTAGAAGTCGTACGGCTCAAGCAAGTCGAGCACATCAATTCGGAAAAGCAAATACTGAGTCAAGTACATCACCCGTTTATTGTGAATTTGTGAGTTAATACGAAAAAAGATCAATGGTTATTTAAAAAAAGAAAACGAAAAGCAAAAAAAAAAAATGATCAAAAACAGAACCGATATGTAGACATTATTTCCTGGCATGCGTATTTACGTTCATTACTTTATCCACCTATTATAAACCACACACAACCCGCTTTACTCTCTTTTTTTTTTTTACATCTCTCTCGCTCTCTACCTGCACATCAATATCAAAACTAATTAACATCAATTCGTCTTTTTCCCAGATTCTGCACTTTTCAAGACGACAGGAACTTGTACATGTTATTAGAATATGTCATTGGTGGAGAACTTTTCTCTCATCTTCGAAAAGCGGGACGATTTCACAACGATATTACCAGATTTTACGCAGCAGAGATTGTTCTTGCGATAGAGTACATGCATTCGAAGGATATTATTTATAGGGATTTAAAACCAGAAAACTTGCTATTGGATTCACGAGGGCATGTAAAGATTACTGATTTCGGGTTTGCCAAAAAAGTTGAAGATCGGTAAGAATCGTGGACGGAAAAGGGGCGGAAAGGGGAAGGGGAGAGGTGTGTCGGCATGTATGTGTGCGTATGTGTGTGTGTGTGTGCGTGCGTGCGTATGTGCGTCCGTACATATGTGTGCTTGCATATGTGTGTGCGCGCGACGTGTGAGCTTGAAATGAATGCGTATTTATTTACAATAATATCTTATATTGTTTTGCGCAGTACTTGGACATTGTGTGGGACGCCCGAATACTTAGCACCAGAGATTATCCAGAGCAAAGGACACGGAAAAGCAGTTGATTGGTGGGCATTAGGGATCCTAATATTCGAAATGTTGGCAGGGTATGTTATTTATTTTATTTATCCCTTTTTTTTATTTAAAATCATTCTTTTGGTTTTAACGTCTTTAGTTCTTTTGTGTATATAGCTATCCCCCATTTTTCGATGATAATCCGTTTGGAATATACGAAAAAATTCTAGCCGGAAAATTACAATTCCCACATCACTTTGATGGAGCGGCAAGGGATCTAATCAAGCGCCTCCTTACGGCTGACCGCACAAAACGACTAGGAAATCTACGTGGCGGCAGTGATGATGTCAAACGACATAAATGGTTCCGTGAGGTTGACTGGCAAGGTCTATACGACAGACGAGTCCCAGCACCGATTGTACCGCCGTATCAACATCCAGGGGACACGAGCAATTTTGAAAAATATGCAGAACCGACAGAAGAAGAAACTGGCTTTGGTAGGAGTAACGCTTCTACGGATCCGTTCCGACATTTATTTTCTAATTTTTGATTAAACGTTAAAGATGGCGGTGGAGAGAATACAAGATTTCAAATGGGATAAGAAAGAGAAGGGACGTGTGTCTATGTATGTGTGTATGTATGTGTGCATGTATGTGTATGTATGAATGTATGTATAGTTGGATGAATGGTTGTGTATGTACGGGGAGGGGTTGGTCGAAAGGGATTAGATGGGACGGATAGGTGAAAGAAGAGCGAAAAAAAAAAGGTCGTTTGCATCGTGTTTTGAACAAGTTTTGGATTCTGTCTGTATTTCCAGGTATTAGCGTTTTCTTTATTACGGATTAATGGGTTGTTTGCAAGTACTTGATAGGTGGATTTCATGCTTTGAGGGGTTATGTTGAGGTGGGTTTTTTTGTTGGATCAGCTTGCTTCCTTGAAGCATAATTTGAGATATGGGAGGGATTGGCCGCTGAAAAGAGGAACGTTATAAACAGATTTGTTATCATAAGTAATTTCTTTGACTTGCAACCTTGATCCTTGGGATGTCACGGTGTTCTCCGACGGAATACTTTGGGAGATATTTTCTCCTAATCTTTAATTTCTGTATATCAACTTTCTTTCCATCTCATTCCTTTGTATAGCGATGTTTTGTTTTATTTGTTTTATTTGTGTTTTTTTTACTTTTTTTTTTTTTCTGTATGTCTTTTTTTTTTTTTTACTTTTCTCACTAGTACTAGTGTACTTTATTCTTTTCGATTTATTTGTAAGAAAAGAAATTTCTCTTATCTTTTAATCTGCATCATCAAAGTATAGTTTTTATCCATTATGCTCATTGCTTTTGTTTTAACAGTGAATTGCAAAGTGTTTGAGGAAAGGGAAAAAAAAAAGACTCAAATTTGTATAGTCCAGAACGATCAAAGAAAGTCAATTTTTGATTAAAATTCGTAATCAAACAAGACTCACATGGAAAGAACAGAAAATCTAGATGGTGAACAAAAACTACTGGGTCAATGGTTGATAATAATAATAATAATATAATAATAGTAATAAGTAAAAAAGGAAGAAAAAGAAGCTCTGAAAAAAAAAGGTTGAATTATTTCATTATTAAAAGAGTTAATATAATAAATAATCATACATACTAATATGTATATGGGGCAGACTGCAACAAATAAAGACAAAAATGAACATTTGACTGTGTGCTAGAAAAAAAAAGGTTGATTATGATGCATCTGAAAAGATCAACCATGACACTTTGGAAAACTTGTAAAGAAAAAGAGCAGAATGAAATATTGCTCCATCTCGAAAAATAAACTTAACGCCAACTTTACATTCGCCTATTTTGATACAATTGTGATAGTAACCAAAGAGTCAAATGGCTGTGACTCTTCAAAGCGATTGCATGGGAGGAGAATATTCAGACCCCAAAGCCATTGATGTGTATAACCTCATTCTGGTGAGCATTCTAGAATTCACTATTATCTTTGCTAATATCATCAACTTAATTCAGTTCTTCTGTCGCATGATCGTTTTGAACTTTCGATTCTGGCTAGTAGATTTTGGTTCGTTGCCGATGGATTTATTGTATTAAGCTGTAATTATGTCATTCAGCAACCGGTCGAAAATGAAGCCAATTAAAAAAAAGAATTCGCTTGCGTATGTAAACAAGTGAATGTTACTGGTGAAAATTGACAGATTTAGTTTTATTCCTTTTAAACAATACATTGTTTTAACGATATCTTTGTTGGATTTTTGAATCAGTGCTTTTTGTCATAATAATAAACGCAAACTTTTGTTGCGTTGGGGGCCTAGAATAGAGAATAGAGCGTAAAGAGGATACTAACAACTACCGCAGCAGGTAAACAAATTAAAATTCCCAGTTTTGACAAACTTGCGCGCTTTTTTTTCCTACGTCCGCTCGAATATCGCACCCTGTCATTCTCACTTTTCTCCAATTGGCAATAAGCAAGGTCATTTCAGGTGGACATCTCTAGGATTGACTACACCAGTTATGTCAATGAACCATTTTATTAGGAATGAACACCTCGCAAGAGACAAGACATTCCGTTTTATAAGTATCAAAATGGAAAAGGTAGCTGTGAATGAAGCGGTACCATACACATAAACTTGTACACACTTCCCATCAATAAAGGTGATGTAAGTCTTTCATATTCTGACATAAGCATCCTATGGTTTGATTTTGGTGCATTTTCTAGTAGCATAGACAGTCTCAATTGTATACCAAATTTCTCGAGAAAGTCACGTTGTCTTATTGGTCCATGCGTGTCGACTAGTAACATATATTATACGTTTTAGAGATAATACGAGAATTGTGTTTGTACGAACATTTTCAACCGTACCTAAACCCGCAGCTGCAGATTTTAAATATGCAAAATCTACATCTGCAGTAAGATCGACTTCACCCGGCGTAGTCAGAATAGAAGTAAATCGGTGTTTCTTTACCGCCTACAAGAATATTTTTGGATTATCGGAAATGTAAAGTCCATCAGCCAATAGAAAACAAGGGGTGGAAAATCAAGATGATCTCGTCGCTCGCCGTAAGGAAAAAAAAAAAAAAAAAAGAGTTCCACCGAGTTCCACCGAGTTCCGCCGAGTTCTTCTCAGAAGCAATAGCTTCTGCATGGAAATATTGGAAATGTCCAAGTGGCACAAAGTCATAATACTGTGTGACTCGATATATGAGATTCACTTACCCGTAATGTATCGCCTTGGAAATGATCCTTGCCATAATCAATTATGAGGGCTGATCCTCCATAGTCATGAATATACTTTGCAATTTCATTTGCATTGTTCCATGACGATGGAGATATTTCTATAGTATCTCCAACACTCATCCGTTCATACTCTGACGCATTGGTATAGGCGTTTGAAGCGACAGTCGGTGTCAAGGATGTAACGAGTTTAAAGTGGTATGTACTATAATTAAATGAGTGACAAACCTTGTGAAATATAGTCCCAGTAACAAATATTTATAGTCCCAGTAACAATATTTATTTACTAGTCATTACCTTTGATCGCTTTCGTCAACGTCCACCATAATTTCACGCCAGCCATCTTTGGTTTTCTTTTTGATAAAAAACCGTGTTTAATAATTAAGCGTATAAAACTTTTCCAAATATATTATATACCTTGAACTGGTGAACTGGTAACGCATCGAAAAATTCATGGGCAATTATCATGGACCATACGCCTGTACCAAAAAAAAAAAAGTTAAAATATGTGCTATGACACGATGCAGAGCTAAAATGGGTTTAACCTGGGATATTTCTAATCGACTCTTGCCAATGAAACTTTGGTTTAGCAAACTCGAGAGCGATTGACGATTTGTCACCACAAAGTTTGTCATGTTGCAATTTTCGGAGGGCTGGGCTTACTTCGATTAAATGAACATTCTTCAATGACTTGAAAAAGTCTTTGAAGCTAGTCATTGCCTGTAAAATAGAAAAGAATTCGATGGAGATTAGGGAAAATTTGATGCAAGATTGACGAAACACTGGGTTTTTAAAGGTAGATAGGTAATTTGGCGAATTTCAATTCATTACGAAAAAATAATTGGTTTTTATTTTTTCATTTCCATCAATCAACAAAGTAAAAACGCCGTATTTAACGCATAGGATACATTCAACAAGTATGATGACCCGTAGATCTCGATTTTCCATTATAATAGTTCTGTAATTCTGTGATTCGCCAAATTACCACCTATTTACCCACTCTGAGCATATCATCCAACAATGTTCCTCTTCCAGGCCCATACTCTATAATTTGTATATTATCAGGTTTACCAGAATTTTGCCATTGGTTGACAAACCATATCCCAATTAACTAGAATTTTTTAATGGAAAAACATGTCAAGTACCAAAAAGCATCAGTCAAATACGATTGAGATTGGAAATAAAAAAAATTTTTTTTTCTTTTACTTCTCCAAACATTTGACTGACTTCCGGTGAAGTGGTGAAATCTCCATCAACACCAAACATATCACCTTTGGTATAGTACCCATGAAGCGAATCCGTCAGGGCTTGTTTCATATATTCAGCGATAGTAATGGGACCGCTCCTCTACAAGAACTCGGGCTCGTCGGCATAACATTTCAAAGATAGATTCACTTTTGAACGGGGGGAGGAGGAGGAGGAGGACGGTTCATTTTTCGATTACCTTTATTCTCTCTCTTAACGCTAATGTGAGGGACGTATTCAGCTCCTTCTTTATCGAGTACGATCTTACGGCAGGGCATATTAGGTAAGAAGGACGCAGCAAGAAAGAACGCACTCGGCACAGTTTAAGCATATTTTATCATTCATTCACCAAATTCAGTTGTTGTGTGAGAATTTAAATGGGCAAACTGCGTTTCTATTATACCGGTTTCGGAGTTTTCTGTCCTACAAAGCACAGCCAGTCACTTGATTTTAAACAACACTGCGGGACGGGACACCCTTTTCTGCCAAAAAGTTAAGCTTTTCATTATCTGTTGTTCATAAAGAAAAACGTCCTAGTTCATATACACACTTTTCTCCTCTCTTCCTCTACATATATCTATCTATTCTCACTCTCTTTCACCTCCTCACGTTTTTTATACCAAGCCTTTCTTTCCTAGAAATCAACATAACCATGGCCTCTGCCACTGCAGCTGTTGTCAGTACTTGTTCACCCTCTCCGTTAAGAGAGTTACCCTGGTATCGCAATTACATGTTAGCAAGTAACCTGTCGACACCACCTCTACAATCGCTAGTCATCGGGGGAACAACGGTACTATGTGTAAAAATTCCGTCTCCGCGTGGCGATATCAGTATATATAGAAGATTGGATACCGATTTTGTAAACGCTACGCATATGTTTAGGGCGGCATATCCGACTGCTGGAGAGGCACTAGAGAAGAGAGAAATGATGTGGCTAGACTCTATGACTAGTACAACTGTAGAGCTTGAAGGCAATGTTGGCTATATGGCCGGGACTTGGTATGTTTTCTCGTTAATGCGAAGAAAGGTTAATGTAGTGTGGCTGTCTCGTATTTATAATTGATTGAATCTTTTTCTCTATCTCTCCGTCTCGCTTTCCTTCCCATCTCGCTTTTTCTCCACTTTTGCTCACTCGCCTCACTCATCGTCTTACGCACCCGGCATTCTCTCGCTCTTTAAATTTCGATTCTTGTTGGTACGGAAAAAGGGTATCACTTGCTTATGGTAAGCTTTGGTGACTATGGACGAACCGGTGGTTTTTCGATGAATTACCTAATTATCAATTTTATTAAATTCAAATGGAATTTTGTTTAGCAAAACGTCTTGCCAAAGATTACGGAATCGAGCGACATACAGCTTTACTATTCTCTTTCTCTAACCCTGTTGAACGTAGAAAGGTACAATACAAAAGTTTGACGACACTAGTGTGCGATATCGATCGAGTTGTCCTCTGTCAGAACTGACATTACAATGTTTGTGTATTACATTTATTCAGGCACGAAAAGTTACGTTCGCCGAGATTCAAAAACCCGAATATCCACAACCGAGCGCTTCAGAATCACGAGGAGACATTGACATACTTTCCGCTAATCTTAACGAACTCAAGGTTGCCAACCTCAACGAACTCAAAGTCAATTTTGGAGAACTCACCACAGTCGAAGAAGTCCGACAGGAAACAGTAACGAGTCCAACAGAAGAAACAAAAGGAGCAACCGAAGACGATGCAATGTCGGTCGATTACGAACCGCTTGACAAAAAAGAAGATGAAACTAATCAATCTCCACCTCTAAAAAACACAACGGAAATACCAGAGAATAATAATGTGCAAAATGATGAAAAATCTGCCGAGTCTGTAAACAAAGAGAATACGGACACGACGGAAATGACGGAAATGACGGAGGAGGCGCCGTCAAAGGAAATATCATCTGATGTACGTGATAAGGAACATGTTTCTGGTTTAAAACGACGCTGTGAGGAGCTCGAGCGCGATCTAACCGCCGAACGAAGAAAAGTACGTGTTTTGGCTTTAACGGCCGTCGGATTTGCAACAACGACTGTTATACCGTTCCTGTTGGGATGAATTATATGTGGATCCGAGGGCATGTTTTTACCAGTTTCTCCCTCAATCAACACAATACTCTATTTTTTTTTCCTCTTCCTCCGCACAATCAAAATAATTGCAAAATTGTTAAGTTTATTCACAAGATACAAAGATATCTCTTTCAGAGTGAATGGATGATATTGCCCCTACAGAAAAAATCTCAATGGATTACTAGACAATAACAGAAACGTATAATTATCATATTCTCTTTTCTGAATTAACGATCAATCTTTCATCAACTAGGATTTTTTTATTCTTAATATTACTCCAAGTGAACATATATCATGTATTCAAAGGGAGAACATCATTTATACGCAGTGGAGGTGGGGATGACTGGGGCAGAGAGAGATGTACATACATATGTGTAAGCTTTTTGTCGAGTTTTTTGAATTAGTAAAGTAAAGGCATCATTTTTCTTGCTGTTTCGCATCGACAGTATTTATCAGTCTTTCGTGATAAAAAATATTAAATAAAGTTTGTATGTGTGCTTTGCGCGAGACTCTTTCGATCCGTACTGCTTTCATTCACCGCGTTTTAAACGACTGCATGTGTGTGTGTGTGTGTGTGTGTGTGTGTGGATATGTGCATATGTGCAGGTGTGCCTATGTGTGTCTATGTGTGCCTATGTGTGCCTATGTGTGTGTGTGAAAGATTGCGAATATTTTTTTCTTTTTTTTTATTAATAGTTCGATCAACCATTCCGTTTGCGGTCAAATGTTTGGGATAAGCTCAAGCTATTAAATTCCCAAGAATGAAAAAGATGGTTATGACTTGTCAGTTTGTAACCGTTTTCTCACCAACGTCATTTATGCATAAAAACAAACAACATTACATACACAGTCTTGACTTTTTATAATGATATCGAGAGCAATGGACTCTTTTTAAATACTAGGCCCATTTTTTTTTCCATCTCTTCTTTCGATCCTACCATTACCCTGGATGGGATTAATGCGAAAACGTGATCAAACTGCACATCGCCGCCAATGCACAAAATAAGCGACGTACCGATTCTGAAACAAAAATGATCTACTTTTTGTGAAAGATGATGCACTTGTTCCAAACGCCTCATTGCTTGCAGAAAAAAAAAAATGCTGGTAATTGCCTTTCCAATGTACTTGCATCCAAATGTGGAGAGAGAGGGAAGGGGAAAAGGGTGGGGTGCCCGTCCGCATATGTGAGAATTTATTTAGTATTTAATATTAATATATTTAATGTTAATATTAATATGGTTTTATTGTGTTACATTGTTCAGATAAACCTTTGTACACCGATAATGATGTACAAATTCCTCTTATGGTCTAGTATTACTTAACAGCCTATATATCCAGAAAGCACGAGATTTATTATCTTTTCCAAGTCTTCTCCTCCCCCTCCTTAATTAGCGACGACTTCAATTTCCCGTTATCCATAATGGCCGACTTTGCTACTACTGTTGCAGCAACTACTACTGCAGTTGCTACTGTTATTTCGAGTCCTCCGCCCTCCCAAGACGAAGTCCAATCCGCTGAAGTAGTAGTCGAGGAAGGTAAGGCAAAAACTCCTGCCGCGGATACTGATAAGACTGCCACCACAACGGATGAAACCAAAAATAAGGAAACCAACAAGGACGAGACCAGCAAGGCTGAAACCCAAAAGGATGAGCCCATGAAGGTTGATAGCGATATCAAGAAGGAGGATATCAAAGAGGACGATACCAACAAAAAGGACGATACGACAGGTACCAAGACAACCCCAGACTCTACATCGACTGGGTCACCAGAGCCAATTGCTGCAAAAACGTCACCTGAGATTGTTCCAGCTAAAGATGTACCTGTTGAGCCTACCACGACAGCGAAACAAGAGAAACAACCCGAGGATAAATCCGAACAAAAGGAAGAAAAGAGCGCTGTCGTAACTGAATCTTCATCAGCTGTCGATAACAAGATTGAAGAAAGTAAACCCGCGGCGACTGATGAAACGCCTTCAACAACCAAAGAAACGACTACAACTCCAACCCCCCAAGAAACGACTACAACTCCAACAACCCAAGAAAAAACTCAAGAAGAAACAATTCCACCGCCTCCACCTCCAACAAAGACAAAAGTCACTACGACTACGGAAGTTACACCTGACGAACAACACAAGAATAAGGCACTTCCAGAAACGCCAGAAGACGTACGTGAAGTCCCGGCTACTAGTGGAGAAGGCACTTCGGCGCCGAGCGGTGGTGAAGAAAAGACTGACGACGCAGCGAAAGGCGAGAAGAAGCCTAAATGGAAGAGCATTCTCAAGAGAGTTAAAAATTTTTTTAATGAGAAAGTGTAATTGATAATTAGTGGTTTGTTTTTTTTTCTGTTGTAATTATCTAAAGAGAACAAATGCGAAAGACAAAAGGAGCATTGCATTGGACATGAAGAAGAGTGTGGTTTCGTTTTCTGGTTGTCTCTTGAATGGCGAATTTGGAATTGATTTTTATTATTATTTTTATTGTCGTAAATCGCGCGTTATTTAGCAAGCACAATATGTAATGAAAACGTGTTTGTAGTTATTATACAAGCAACGGTTATTTTTAACTATCTCTCTCCCCTCTTCTCTCTTTCCTCTCATCATTCTCCTGTCCAATTCTCTCGCTATGCAAATTTTTTATATCTGTTGATTATTCAGAATCTTAATAAAAGGAGGAAACATATTATTAATGTTGTTAATTTTTTTCTGCTTTCGACTGCGGTAATTTTGTGTCTCTATACCAATATAACATGTCAAAGCCCAACTGATAAGGTTTGCGAATAATAGTAAAGAAAGGGGGGGGGGGGGGATGGTCTTAATGTAAACGATTATTACTGTATTTTAATTTGCGGCAAGTGATCATCAAATAGAATTTTGGGGACTTAAATATGATGTACAGTTTATATTTATATTATGGAAACCGTTTCACAACCTCATCTACAAAGAGTTGACACATCCAGAGTCATTGCAATTCACTTTTTTTTTTTTAAACGTACAGCTTTACAGCATTCATTAAAATGAAATTAACGCCAACTCTCCTTCCCTCTCCCGCCTCCCCCCTCTACCGCGGTTGGTACAATTCGAATACCTCCCCTTTTTTATTATGTCATTGAACTTTAATAATAAACATCTTATTAATATGATATGTACGGTAACGCTGATATACCATATCTCTGAAGTTTCGCACATGTTTCTCCTCCCCCACCCCCCTCTTCCACACTTCCAATTTTATCTAAAACATTCGATCGCAGATCAATCAAATTTATGGTTGTACTTTATAAATATAAAATGTGTGATTTCGGACAAAGAGTTGCAAATGGACATTCAACCCATCCTTGCGGATTGTCATTCTAGCAAAAAATGGTTAATTCGTTCGTTGAAGCATTTTAGACGTGGGACATGATGTCTCGGTTTTTAACATATTGTTACACTCGTATCTGAAAGACAATTGCAAAAAGATCCTGTTTAGCCAAGCTTTTTGTCAAAAGCCATTCATATTATTATTCATATATTACATATGCGGCGAAGAGGGGGGGGGGGGTGTGATGGGTGGCAGGAAAAATAATGTTGATAAATCGAGTTACTTCGATGGTTACAAATGTACACATGACCAGCACAAATAATTTTATGTCGTAATGTTGGCTTGTTCGGACCACCAGAACAACATGCTATTACTATTGTGATCCCCATATTTCTTATTGCGTTTTCGGGTTCTTTTATTGCGTCTTTTAGGTATTACCATTACGGTGTATGTTACACATCATTAACATTTTATGTGCACGATCAAGAGAAAAGCTTTCTCTTTCTGATAAGCATAATAGACACACGACGTACATGCTATCGACCGATTTATAATGATTCATCAATCACCGTAAATCGTTACTTTGAGCGACCGGTTGACCCCTTCTTTTTTTTAGTAGACGAGCTTTTCGTCTTTTTGCTCAATCTTCCACAGGATTTTTCGCGCAGTTGAGTTGTATAACCAACATCGATGCGATGCCTTTTCTATACAGAGCGTTTCCCAGTCTCTCCGAACAACCCATGCTTGTTCAGTCTGTTGTTTTGTGCAAGTAACTCAGTGGGACCATTTGTACACGTTGACAGTGTTATTGGTACAAATTTGTTTGCATAATCCGGGGTTTTGATCAATTCTGTATACGCTTTATATAATCATTGATATATAAAATGCAATTATCGTACAAACACGCATGGCGGTAGCAACTGAATATTGTTCTTCCAATAATGAGTAACGGAATTGATTGCTTACAACTATAGTTATGGCTTACCGACGCTATTGTAAACACTTGACGTGCTCATTCATAATAGTAAATAGTCTGCTGGGTTGAGAAAGACGACTGATTTGACAACGTCTGCTATGGCACAGCGTTTACTAGTGCACAATTGCGATATACCGGTTAATATAATCTTTTCATGCACCATGAGTTAATCATGAGCAGAGCCGCTATCAGACCATGTCCGGCTATTATTAGAAAGTTGGATCAAAAACTCGTTTCAGAAGGAAAATATCGCGTTTGATTCATCATGTGGTTGGATGCATTCGAACAACAAGTTTTGACTTTATATACAGTAACACCTTTTTCTATATACCGGTCCAATGTCTGTATGTGGTAATGTTTGACGTTTTATGCATATGTTTGCATAAAGAACTTGATTTTGCACCACAAATCAGCTACGGCCATACACAGTGAAAAGCACCGGAACCCGTCCGATCTCCGCAGTTAAGCCACTGGTGGCCTGGTCAGTACTACGGTTGGGGACAACGTGGGAATACCAGGTGCCGTAGCTTTTTACCTCTCGTTTTCGCGGCTAGCGAACTTTCTAATTTGACTGTATTATCATTATGTTACTACTACTATTATGATATCAATCAACACAACATTATTGTCGGGATCATCGACCCCAGAATGTTTGCTCTTGACACATTACGCTATTTCAGGACGAATGGTGTTTGATGCAAAGCACGTACAATGTTTTGGGGAATAGCGGTCTAACATTACTCTGTTCGCATATAGTAATATTGACACTGTTCACGAACAATCAACCAGATCGTGATCAGGAATCAAGAATGCAAACAAAATTCCGTATTGCTTGCGCTAATTTTGTAAAGACGCGGGTATTATAATGAAATAAGTGTCATTAAGTAAAATATAGCCAATGATTTTACCTCCAAATTTAATTGAGTGAAGTCTATTATATGTTCTCACATATAAATATTACCTCGCAAACATCTCTATTACATTAATTACGTCAAGTCACAGATATAATCACCTGCATTAAAATACTTACCGAATTAAGTATCGGAGAACTTTAGTCAGAGAAATACGGTATGTTTCGCCCTATTATCAAAAAAGATATTAAAAGGTTAAAGTTCCATTCGATGGGAAGTTTCAAAGTAGTAATGCATACTCTTCCATTTCAAATTGGAGAGCGATGCCCAAACTTACAGTATTAACTATAGCTCGTTGTTACAAATTTTTTATTGACATGATTGAGGAATTGTTATAAAAATAGAACACGATGCCTTAACCTCAGTTTAATCAGCGCAACGCAAAGCTTTTCCAGAATTAATAATATGTACTCTTCAATAGAGTGGCGTAACGCTGTTGATAAACTAGAAGAACTGCTTAGTGAAATCAAGATACATTGGACCTATCAAAGATATTCAAGGCATTTACATACCATAACCAAGACTTTTGAAATTTGGGGTTCTTTGTGAAGCATTTGTCTTTATTCTTATGAAGAACCATTTGCAACAATGGGAAAGATTACCAAAAAAGAGGAGTTAGCCATCAAAAGCTTACAGGAATTACATTCAAAGGGAGTGATGCATGGGGTCATTAGACTATGGTGAAGAGGAAGAATAAGAGTTCAACGTCTTGTGCGTGTGTGGATTGACTTTGGTTGGAGTGAAATGACAGATAATTTGAAAGAATTGGATAAGGAATTAAAGAGTTGAAATATTTGCTTGGAATGGTAGGCATGAAATCATTATGTTTTTATCATATACTAATACTGACACAAAATTTACATATGATTTGCCATAGTACTAATAGACATAAACTAAATTTACCTTCCAAAGCAAGAGCTGGCTAATTATAATCAGTATCATGTGCTTTACCTTGCTACTCTATTATTTTTTGCTTTCATTTTTTACTTAGCTAATATAGCAAAATAAAATTTGTATTTCAGTTGATAAATAGGTTAATACAAATGCTTTCTTCATATCCCTGATGTAATCAATTGCATGCAGAGTATAAGTAAAAGTGATATTATTGAAGTCTCCTGTGATAGTGTTGTGATTGGTATTTTTTTTACATAGGTGCGTTCAATGACGGGGTTGTTACCAACTCATCACCCTTACTTTGGTGATAGTCAACTAAGATTCGTAAGTGACTTTGTGTTTTAATTAAGGCGTGCTTCTAACTACTCCCTATACAAAGTATTCTTCCCATACTCATATCTGAATAAGTGTACTCATAGTATGTCAATAACAACAATTAAAATACCGTAGACTCGAAGGAAAATTTCTATTATAAATCTAAACAGGGCAAGTTTCGATTCAGTGTTTTGACTAGTCGACGTAAAACGTCACTCAATAATTGATACAAAACTAATTAAACAATTAAAAATTGTTATCGACGCGCGACAATGATTATGCTTTCTGTTGTTCACATAATCGCTCAGAAGACAATTTCGTAAGCCTAAGTGGGCTTCAGCTACTTGACCTTTTTGCCTGGGGCTACGTAGGTATTGTCCGGATCAATTAGTTAAAGATTCAAGCGAAGATAACGATAAAAAAAACTAAAAGATTTAAAAAAAAAGAACAATTTGTTTATTTCCGTGGGTTAGATCAATCCGTGGAGTATTATCAACAAATAAACATTTACAAGATGGGTTAATGTTAAAATCTCCGAATTTGCTATAGTACTTCTAAATTCGATTTTTTGGTGCTGCACGCCACTGTTCAATTTCCTAATATAACATTAGCACTGCATTACTAAGGTTTGCTCGACTGCGGAGGAAGATTTTATCTTGTAACGTTAGCAGATCGGCTTGCCGTAACAATTCAACCGACCCATTACTTGTCATCCCATAAATAATGAA